AATGCAATTCTTTGTTTAAGAAAGTGTCTCAAGAAAACTGTCTTTTAGCAAACCAAAAACGCTTAGCTATTTGATGTGCCTGCAAGGTATGCTAATTTTTGAAGGAGTCAAGGTCTTCCATTCGTTTCTAAGGCCTCTGGCAGCAGGGCCTCGCCGAAGCCTGCGTGGTCCCCCGGGCCGGTCTCCGCGTGGGAGCCGTCCGGGCCCTGGCAGCGCGTTCCCACGCCCAGGCCGGGTCGGGACGCCGCGTTGACCCCAAGGGGCTCCTTCCCTGGCTCTCGCATTCCCAGCCCCGCCCAGGCCGCCCCTCCTCTCCTGGTCCCCGCTCCGGAGCGTGGGAGCACAGCTGTAGCCGGGAGCCGCCGCGCGGAGACCGCCCGGAGGATGCGCGCCTGTCACCCAGGGAGGCGGCGGATGAAGGGAGACGCGGGGAACCGCGTCAGGCGGCTCCCCGACGTTGTCCACACCGAGTGGAGCCCGAGCTGGAGAAGCCGGTCACTTACTTGATGTCTTCCCACACTTCGAGGCCGTAATTGCGGATTACCAGCAGCTCCAGGGCGTGATTCACAAATCCGTACTGCGGGAACAGAGGAAAACCTGTGCGTTAGGGACCGGTTGTGGGGGAAGGTGACAGGGGGCGAAGCTGCGGTCTCTGCTCCCATTGCGCTGGTTTAATCTTTTATCCGGGTGCCTCTGGCTACGCTCCATTCCAGGTACTCGGTGCTAAAAAGAGTGCATATAGAGGCACAACCGTACTCCCACCCCCAGTCCGGGGCAGACCCTCCACCTCACTAGCCGCCCCACCCCCACGCCACCTTCTTAACGCTGCTCACCTTTCGGCGCTCAGAGGACGCGCGGGCGTAGGACACCGCGCGGCAGGAGGGACCCGCACCCGACACCTCCCTCGCCGGCGGCGCTCAGCTCCCACCCCGGAGCGGGGAAGACCCCGCGCCCCAGACGGATCTCCCCTTCCCCAGCTAAGGAAGCTGCCGGGCAGCGGGGCTAACCCGCCTGCGAAGCAAAGGCACCGACGGCCTCCGCCGCGACCCGGAGCGTTGCCACCTCCCCTGCTCCCGACGCAGCCAAACAGCGAGGCTGCTGGGCGGCTGGCAGTGTGCTCCCGGAGCCCCCGCGCCAGGCTCGGTGCGCGGCGCAGCGGCTTCTCCCGGCAGCCAGGCCCGGCCCGGCCGCGGCGCGAGGTTCCGGCTGACCCGCTGAGAGCACTCACCATGGTGTCTGCGCCCGGAGCCCGGGAGGCAGCCCCGGCGCATAGGCGGCGGCAGAAGAGAACCAGGCGGTGCCTGCAGCAGCGACAGCGCAACCGGACCGCGGCGGCAGTACTGAGCCGGGGCGAGCGCAGCGGTCTCGGCGCGCCCTGATTGCCACCTCCTCGTAGCCAATGGCGAGTCGCGCCGCAGGAGGCTGGGCGCTACCTCCCTGTTCTCAACCAGTCAGCGACAGAGGAGGGAATTCGGTTGCCCTCAATGCTGCTGCGCTCCACCGCTTTCCCGCCCCCGCTCTGGTGACAGGGCCTTC